TAAACATCTGCATTTCGAGTGCTTTCCCGCCGCGATGCCTGGCCCAGTGCCTGTGGGGATGGGTGGTGGACCAGGAGGTTTCGGTGGTGGAGGCTAGAGGAGATATGAGCATTTTGAAGGAAGCTTATGCAGGTGCATATAGGCGTGGCTCACGGGCTCAGACCCAAGTTAGATCGGAGGCTGTTTTCTTGGACTGTTCACCCCAGCACGTTAGTTCTGGGTCTGAATTGCAAGAGTTCGCTTCAGATCCGTTTAATCCTGAGCCCCTAATGGCATTCAGAGGGAACTGGCTTTAATACGCTACATCATGATACTGGATTTGCTTTTTATTGTTGTGATTCTTTTTCATTTAATTTCTTTGACCAAACGTCTCCTTTCTAAAAGCAAAACTAATATTCCATAAGCTCAAAGGAGCAGCCGGTAGCTGCGTTTAAAGGTTAAGTAGGTTAGCTGCTTCAATTTGTGGTGTTTGGAGTGGGACGGCCAGGGCATTTCAGTACATTGTGCTTCTCCAAATTTCCCCTGCAGATTCAGCTAGAGACGTTATTCTTCACCCCTTGTTCTAAATTATTGCGTAGCGTGGCTGTGTGCTACAGCCCAGAGGTGGCTGCATTTCAGTAGTGAGTGAAGGGACCTCAGCAGGTAGGAACTGATATGTCCGATTGAAGGGTGGAAACCTGCTGTGATCCTGTAGGATTAAAGGTTTCAGAGGGGTAGCCGTGTTAGTCTGTATCCGCAAAAAGAACGAGGAGTATTTGTGGCACCTTAGAGACTAACAAATTTATTTGAGCATAAGCTTTCGTGAGCCCCCGAAAGTACTCCTCGTTCTTGTTGTAGGATTAAAGATATAGACAGTTGTTAAACACACTTAAAAAATAATTGTTGCTGTGGTAGCATCTAGCCGCCCCTCTGAGCTCACTGCCCTGTTGTGCTGGGTGTGGCACAGATGCAGAATGAGAGACAGTTGCTGGACTGAAGAGCTTGCGGTTCAAATATCCAACACAGACACAACCTGGAGAGGGGAAACAGAGGCATGTAGGTGAAGGGACTCGCCCAAGGCCACTCAGCAGGTCAGTGGCAGAGCTGGGAGTAGAAGCTAGCTCTCCAGAGTCCCTGTCTATTCTAAAATCAATATTAACACTAAGTAGCCACCTGAGGCTGTTTCCTCCCGTGTCAGGCTCCTGGTGTCTATCGCTGTTTCTCACACAGCTCTCGGTGTCTCCACAGCTCTTGACGGACATACAGGGCCTCTGATCCGGTTAATGGGTTCTTCTCTCTTGTCCTGCCAATCCGGGCTTTCCTCAGCCCATCTAGAGGGCAGCCGTGAGCGGAGGAAGGTTAAGAGGCGGGGGCGCTGGCGCTTGGTGTTAGCTTGACGTTGTTGCTCCTGGATCCAGCAGCAGTTGCAGGGAGTGATTTAATGAGGGTGGAGGAGATGCTGCCGGCTAAAGGGAAGAGACCGCGATATTGCTCCACTGGCTGCCTCGGGATCTCGCCCAGTCAGCACAGCCAGCGTGTGTCCCCGGCCCAGTGCACACTGCAGTGCGGAGGAGGGTGGGCGTGTGGCTGAAGAGAAGGCTCTCTGGATGCCAGGGGAGGATTGAACCGGGAGCCGCGGTGATGGGTCTCCTGCCAGGTCCGGAGAGAGGGGTCTGATTTCTGGACTGGCATGCATGGTCGGCGGTGTCTGTATCCCTGCTGTTCCCAAGGAGAGCAGGACACTTTGCTTTGCTCTGAAGGTATGTGAGGAGGCAGGTGCCGCTTCCTGGGTTCCCTGCAGGGAGAGTGGATGGAGGCAGCAGAGGCTGCTGGGAAAGTGCATACCCTGCCCGTCCCGTGCTGACGGTACAGGAAGCTGTAATGGCAGCCTTGCTAGGCCCCGCCACTGCTGGGTAGGGACGTACTCCTTTGGTGTTCAGGGGACGGACATCCAATAGGGGACTCTGTTGCCGGGCCCGCAAGGGGGCCAAAAACTGGGGAAAACGGAGCCCTCCCCGACAAGCCTGTTTTGCCAACAGATTGGAAAGTGGGGACAAGTGAGACGAGGCCTGACTGGAGGGCTGAATGCAAGGCCTGTCCCGCTTGGCAGGGAGACACCCTCCCAGATTTGGCCCAGGCCATGGGTGGTGATGAAGTGGGAATTGTCTGTGGTAGTTTTATGGGGTGGGGTGTGGGGATGTGTGCCTCAGTTTCCCCTATATTTTGCATGGCTACCGGGTGGGTGGAGGGAAGGTCTAGGTTTGCTCTCTGGGCAGCTAGGAGGCATAGGTGTGTGTGTGTGTGTGTGTGTGTGAGCGCAGGGTGGGGGGGGGAGAAGGGATAAAGTGCTGGCTTCTCACCTGGAAACTGACTAAGGAGGTCAGACCAAGCCAGAGCCTGAGGCTCGGCTCGTTACACCTTGGTCTGGCCTAACCAGGACGGCCTGAGCTTTAACCTTCACTTCCCTGTGCTCCCCAAGGGCTTTCGGCTTGTGCATGCCGGGGGACTAGTGAATGGTTACCTGGTTTGGGAAAGGCCGCCTGTCACTGTAAATACTCGGAGACCATTGCTCTCTGAAAAGCTCCTCCCGTCGGAGTCTGGCTGGGCTGGATTCGCTGCAGGGAGCCGTGTTGAGACAGTGGGATTGCTGGTGCCGTCGGACAATGTAGGAAGCTGTGGGTCTGCCCCGTGCGGATCTGTGTGGGTCCTGCCCCCCAACTACAGGCCAGGGGATAGACCTGGCCTTGTGACTTGGACGCTTCCCCCGACGTTTTATTTACTTAATAAAGCCAGGCCCAAGCGGACAGTCTGAGCTCTGAGCCTAAGCTCTGTCCGCTCACCGCCCTCCTGATTTAAAGCGGAGATCTTAGTGTGTTAGTCCAGCCCGTGTGGGGCTGGTCCACGCTAGCCCTTCATCCAGGTTTGGATGCCTCCTGCTTGCAAAGCTTCCCCTGAGCACTGCGGTGAGCCCTGTTCTGTGATGCGAAGTCATGTTAGGGGATGGATGTCGACTCTGCTTATTTCCCTAGTTCCATGATGGGGATTTGAACCTGGATCGCGGCTTCCCTGTAGGGCTGGGGAGAGGCCGGGTGCGTTCACTCAGCGCACTATTGAGCGGCCCCAGATGCTGCTTTAATAGCCGTCCAGATAATACCATGAGGAGAGGGCACAAGGAGCAAATGTGTTTGTGTCTGGAGACTTTATAACGCACCCCCTGCTCCCCAGGTCTGAGATCATGGCCGGGTCTGCCCAGTTAGGTCATTTTCCTGCCGGGCTGGGAGAGGCAGAAACCTTCAAGGATGCCCCCCGGGGAGGGGGATGCGGGGTCACCAGGACACTCCGTCAACTGCTGTCTGGGAAACAGCCCTTATGGCTTTGATCTCGCTGGCTGCTCTCAGACATCCTGTTCCACCCCACCACGCACACTCCAGCCCTCCCCCACCTTTCCCAAAGCTCGGACGCAGACCTGCCTCCTCTCTAATACTGATGGAAGCCCCCCCGCTTCTTGCACTGAGTTTTAAAAATTCTTAACCCCTTCCATGCTGGATGATGGGCCCGGTTTGTCTGGCAAATGAGTGGACAGCCCTGGGACAGCCTGCTGTCGCCTGCTTCAGGTGGCAGATGGGCTTAGGGGATGGGGTGATGTGCTGACGCCAGTTCGGCTGCTTACATGAATCTCCAAGAGGATGGAACATTAGACTGGAAATATCGCAAGGGGGAGGTTTTTTCCTGTGTCTTTTGGCCCTTCTGCTGCTATTGGGCACCTAGGAGCCTAGCGCCGCAGCCTGCACACGTGAAAAATAATGGAGGAGGGGCACAACTAACGGAGCTCTTCCAACCTCAAGGGTTAGATTGAAGTTTTGGCTGAAGGTTCACGCCAGCCCTGTTTGTCCAGCCCTGGTGGGTATCGGGAGGGTGCTGTTTGCTTGGATTACAGTAACGCCTGTGGACCTGGGGCTGTACAGACGTAGTGGGAGCTGGTCCCTGCCACTAAGAACTTGCAGTCTAGTGGCAGAGAAAGAAAGTATTATCCCCACTTTACAGGTGGGAAACTGAGGCACGGAAAGACAGTGATTTGCCCAGAGTCACGCGGGCAGTCCGTGTCAGAGCTGAGCAGTGAATCTTGCTTGTGTCTGGAGCGGGATCTTCAGAAGAGAGGAACTTGGATCGCAAGCTCTTTGGGGCTGGGACTGCCTCAGTTACCTGTCTGTGCAGCGCCAAGCGCGCTGGTGTTAAGGCGTTTAGGAGCTAGCACAATACTGGTAAGAATCAAGGCGGATGGTAGGTTCCAGCCCCAAGGAGCGAACAAGCTTGAAAAGAGAAGGGGGGGGGGGGGGAAGGAAGAGGACTGACTCATGACGGAGAGAGAGTAACCCAGGAGAGGAGGTAGCGAGCACAATGCAGAGAACCGGGAAGGGAGTAGAGGAAATAGGTTGAAAGCAGCCAAGGGGGAAAAAGACACCAGAAGGAGAGAGAGGCAAGTGGAGTGAAGCAGTGGGCACGTGAGAGGGACATGTTGGCGGTGTGGGGGTGGCGTGCTGGGAACTGGCATGACTGAGCCCTGCAGTGTAACTGGATGGCGCCAGTGCTGGGAGTCAGCTCTGGTGTCTGTAAGTGGATGCACGTGTAACCAGCCCGGCTCGGGGGCTTGGACCTTCAGAGCTAAAAGCCGTGAGCCTCTATCGCTGCCGTTTACGGGGCGGCTCTAGGAGCTGGAAGCAGTAGGAAACTCGCTAACCTTTTACACGGACCAGCCACTAGAGGGGGACAAAGACCCATCGTGTCTTAGTGCGGCTTGCCCGTGCACATCGCCCTCTCTTGGTGCCATTTAGCTATGGCAGCCAGGTTGGCAGCCAAGCGATTCGGGTGTGGCCGTTGCATTTGCTCACAGCTGGCCCTTGCCGTTCCGGCTGGTGGATCTGCACTTGCCCAGCGACAGCTCATAGCTTCCCCCAAACATCCCTGTGAACTGGCTGCCTGTTCCGCTTGCCTGGCCACTCACAGCGCTCTTCCCGCCCTAGGTTCCTGACGGTGGTCAGCAATGGGGACGTGGTGGGCAGCTCCCACACCGGGACTCGGACCTGCAGCTGGAGAAGGAAGAGCACCCGGCGAGGTAGGGTTCTGACGCCTCTTTGAGCTGGACAGGATGGATGGAAATGACTCTGGATTCCTTCAAAGGGACTCGTGTGGTGTTCGATCAGCTTCAGCGTGCCCTGGAACGGCTTCCCCATCCCAAATCCTGGCTCTATTTAAACACTGGGCGTGTCTGGGACCAGACTTCAGTGTAGCAGTTACCGTGCCATACATAGGGTGCTGAGAGCTTGATGGGTTGAAATCGGAGAAGTGTCTGATCCAAAGAACCGATCCAAATTTTGGGGTGTTTGGGGATCAGCACTTGGGCCTAGATCTGGATTTCACAGCTGGCCGCAATTTTGCTCTCATCTGGGCCATGCCCCCAGAGCTGAAGGCCCCCTAACTTTGCATTGAGATGTACCCTTTGTAGCCACAGGCATGCACAGCACACTTCATTAGGGTGTGCACCCAGGGAGCCCTGCCCTAGCCCCCATCCACTCCCTCCTACTTCCCGCCCCCGCTCCTTGTCCCCTGACTATCCCCTCCTGGGACCCCTGCCCCTAACTGCCCCCCAGGACCCCACCCCCTATCTAAGCCTCCCTGCTCCTTGTCCCCTGACTGCCCCCCTAGGACCCTACCTGTCCCCTTACTACCCCAACCCTTATCCACACCCCCGCCCCCAGCCAGAGCCCCGGGACTCCCATGCCTATCCAACTGCTCCACACCCCCTGACAGGACCCCCGGAACTCCCGACCTATACAACCCCCCCTGCTCCCTGCCTGCCCCAACCCCTCTCCACACCCC